TGCGCGGGGGGGTGTGGGGGGGGGGGGGGGGAGCGGGGGGGGGGGCGGCGGCGCTGCTGGGGCGGGTCCGCTGCCGCGACCACGAGGCCGTGCCTTTCGACATCTTCCGCTACGGCGTCCTCACCTGCTTCGTGCTGCTGGAGTTCGCGGCCAAGGCGGACGCGCTCTTCGGCGTCCTGGATGGCGGCTCCGGCGCCGCTGACGGGAGGGTCTGCCAGGCCGTGCTGCGGGCGCTGGAGGATGCGCTGGGCACCGGCCACTTCTCTCTCCCCAGCCACTACCTGGAGGCGGGTTCGAAGCTGGGGCCAGACGGCCTGGCCCTGGCCATGGACCGGGCGCTGCAGGAGAGGAAGCTCAGCACCTCCATGAGCCGGGAGGAGTTCCTGAAAAAAGCCACTGCCTTGTTCGTGGCAAAAGTGAAGCCCGTTGAGTAACACCTGGGTGGGAGCAACGCTGACTGCGTCCACTTTGACTTCCGTGAGCGCTCCGCGCAGAGCCGTTTACACAAAGGGGGCTCCGGCCCCCAGCGCTAAGCTGGATGGCAAGCACTGGGGGCTGGTCAGGCGCTGTCTGGAGAGCCCGGGTCTGCCCGACAAGAGATTCCCGATTTCCATGCTCCCTTCCTTGTTCCGAGTGCAACAGGTGCCCAGCCACCTCCAGCGCTGGAGATGTCCCTATCCGCTGTGCCTCTCCCAGCCGCGGTTCCTCTGACCCAGCTGGCATTAGTAAATCTTTTTTTAGGCGTTAACTGGGGACTTGCAAGGAGGCCTGTGAACTGTAGGGCAGTGTTAGCCATTAAAAATGAGCTAGAACGAAGTAAATGTGGGGCTGGACCTCCAGATACCCTGCAGTTTTGTCCTAGCCCTGGCCATGTCATGTCATGCAGCTTCAGCAGGGAACTTTGTTTCTGCTTTTGGGTTTGTTTCACACCTACCTGTGCATTGGAGGGTGATGCTTATCTACCTACTACTGTGAGGACTCGCAGGTAAATATGGGGCCGATCTGGAGTGTGAGATAAAGCGTTATTTTATTAAGCGAAATGTTTTAAACGCACAGCAGATGAGAAATGGCTGGCTGGGAAGCAAACCTCACTGGGAAGGGCTGTGAGCCAGAGGGAGGGGTCTGTCTCTGCCAGCAGCCAAGCTGTGAGGCGATGAGCTGTCCGGCGATGAGCTGTCCCTGCTGCCTCCTCGCTCGGTGTTTACCCAACTGCCTCTGGCTGCTGTGGTCCGGACTTTGAAGATCAAAGCTCATACCTGAGCGATGACTTCTCAAGCGGAGCTGCAGAGTGCTATGAATTCGATAATGATTTGGGACGTGGAGCACCGGGTCAAGACGAGACAAACCCTGTTCCCTGAGGTCATAGTTTGCTTTTGAACAGAGATGCGTGTTGAACCATGTGTTATTTATTTGAACTTGTCTGTGTTAATTATTTATACTGTGCAATAATTGGTTTACTGTAAGACATTAAAGCTTTTTATTATTTTTTTAGTGGCCAATTTCTTTACTGCCTGCTGGCACTTAGCGCCAGGATGAACCACAGCAGCATTCAGATCCTTGAGGCAGTCTCTGTTTTCAGGGGTTGACGTTGGCAGCCTGCAGCAGCCTGCAGCAGCCTGCCTGGCTGAAGGTATGGGAGTGCAAAGCACTTGTAGTTACTACCAAAAAAAAAAAAAGAAGCTGGGAGGATGCCCTTCATGCTCTGGGATGTTTGTTTCGTTTTGTTGAGCGGATGTTTTGATCCCTGCAGGCAGGAGGGGCACCACCTGGGGCCGGTCTGGGTGAGGCTGCCGGCGGTGGCTCCCGGAGGAGGCGCAGGTGACGGGATGTGACACGGGGGGAGGTGGGAACCGGTGACGCTGGAGAAGATCTTCTCTGCTGGGGCCGTGCCAGGAGCAGCCTCTGCTTGAATTCCAGATGCTGCCTTGTAAATGCCGGAAAGTATTACATGGGCGTAGCGACTGCGCTAAGTGCTTCCTCCCGGCTGACGGGTGCGATCCCCTGGCGAAGCGTAAACCGCTTTACTCACGCCAAACGCTGACCCGAAGCAGCACGGCTGCATCGCGAGCACCGGGGCCGTCACCCGGGGTGGGATTTCGTGCCGAGGGCGGGCTGGGGAGCCCCCCGCGGGCAGCGGGATCGGGGAGCCCAGGGGCGGCGAGGCCCGCGCGGCTGCCCGGGCCCGAAGGGGAAGCGGCCCGACCCTGAGG